TCATAGAAGTAAAATCTGGGACATTTCTCATAGCATATTTTTTCTATATATCCCTCGGGCCAGAGAACGAAGAAAAAATAACAGTGGACCTACATTAACTACATAGTTTTGGTACAGCAAAGGAAAGTATCAATGAAATGAAAAGGCAACCTGTGAGTGGGAGAACATATATGCCAATGACACATATGATAAGGGCTTAATATTAAAAATTTAGAAAGAACTTATAAAACAACAACACAACACACACACACACACACACACACACACACACACACACAAACAAAACAAACAAAAAAACAAACCCAAACAATCCAATTAAGAAACAGACAAAGGTTCTGAATAGACACTTCTCCAAAGTGGACATACAGATAGCCAATAGACATATGAAAGGATGCTCAATGTCACTAATATTCAGAGAAATACAAATTGAAATCACAATGAGACCTTGACACCTGTAAGAATGGCTATCATCAATAAGTCAACAAACAAGTGTTGGTGAGGATGTGGAGAAAAGGGAATCCTTGTGCGCTGTTGGAGGGTATACAGATTGGTGCAGCCACTGTGGAAAGCAGTATGAAATGACCTCAAAAAATTTAAGATGGAACTGCTTTCTGACCCAGAGGTTTGACTTCCAAACACATATCTGAAGAAATCCAAAAATCCAATCAGAAATAACGTATGTACCCTTATGTTCATTGCAGTGTTATTTACAATAGCCAAGATTTGGAAGCAGCCCAAGCAGCCCATTGGCAGATGAGTGGATAAAAAGCCATGGTACATCTACACCAGTGGTTCTCAACCTTGGCTACACATTTGAATCACCTGGGAATCTTTTTAAAATCCTGATTTCTGGCCCTCATCCTCCGGAAATTCTGTTTCTTTGTTATGGGGTGGGGCCACAACATTAGTAACAAAGAAACAGAATTTCCGGAGGATGAGGCCCAGAAATGAGGATTTTAAAAAGATTCCCAGGAGATTCTAATGTGCAGCCAAGGTTGAGAACCACTGATCTACACAATGGAATACTATTCAGCCACAAAAAAGAGAACATTACCCTTTGCAACATCATGGGTCGACCTGCATAGTATTATGCTAAATGAAATAAGCCAGTCAGAGAAAGACAAATACCATATGATTTCACTTATATGTGGAATCTAATGAACAAAATAAACTAACAAACAAAACAGAAACAGACTCATAGATACAGATAACAGACTAACAGCTGTCAGAGAGGAGGTGGTTTGGGAGGCTGCGTGAAAAAGATGAAGGGATTAAGCAAAAACAAAAGTGGTAGACACAGACAATAGCATTGTAATGAGCAGAGGGACAGTGGAGTAGAGGTAGGAAGGTAAAGTAGGGATAAATGACTTGAGGTGGTGAACACAAAATATAATATAAAGATGATGTATATAGAATTGTACACCTGAAACCTATATAATTTTATTAATTAACTAGAGGCCCAGTGCATGAATTTGTGCACGGGTGGGGTCCCTAAGCTTGGCTGGCAATCGGGGCCGATCAAGGCCATCACACCCAGTCCTGATCGGGGCCGATCAGGGCCAGTGGCCAGGGAGGGGCTGTGGGAGGGACCACGGGAAGGCTGCAGGGCTTGTCTGGCCCCGTATTGCCCGATCTGTTGGACCCCAGCAGTAAGCTAACCTACCGGTCAGAGCATCTGCCCTTGGTGATCAGTGCACGTCATAGCCACTGGTCGGTCGACCACTCGGTCGGACACTTAGCATATTAGGCATATATATATATATATATCAGCCCAATAAATTCTATAAAAAAAGAATAAAAACATCACTGACTTTACATAACAATAAAAGTAATGATTAGTTTTGGAGATATAAGATTTTGGATAATATAACAAAAATATAATATGTGTGGCAGAAATAGTGATCTGGTAATAATGATCCATTGACATTGAATATATTCTAGAGGAGAATAGAAATATCAATTTTACATAAGAATAGTTAAGTATGTAAGGTAAAAAAAGAATAGAAAGAGAATATATATTTCCCTTTTTCTAGGGAAAAAGTAACAAAGAATGTTCTATCAGTTCAATAGAAGATATAAAAAAAGATGCAAAGAAGAAGGACCAGTCAAGATGGTAGAAATCAATTCAAATATATGAGTATCACAATCAATGTAAGTATCGAAAGTTGAAATCTGCCTACAAACAATAGAACAAAGTGAAACAAAAAGTACATATGACTTGAATAGTTTTACAAAAAATTCTGTGAAATCTTCAAGTAATAGAAGTATCCCAGAGAATGTAAAATAGGGGAGTATTCCCCAACTCATTTTATAAGACTGGTATCATCTTCATAATCCATCGGAGATGGGGCCAGTGGCAGATGGGAAAATTCTAAGGCTGGGTCTTTTGTCTTTCTCTCCTTCTCCCCTCCCTCCAACCTCTGGTTTAACTAGAGTGGAAACAGTAGAGGAGACAGGGAAAAAGAAAAGAAATACATAAAAAGTGGACTATTTTAGGCAGAAATTGGAGCCAAGGATGTTGTTAGGTAAATTTTTCCTTTCTTCTGACCATGCCATGACCCTCCCCTCCCCCCACCCCCTGTCACTTCCCATTCTTCCTCTCCTGTCTTTCTCCTTTAGAAAACCGCTTGAGAAAAGAGCATTCTTACCATAATATTTCCAAGTTCTTATATTTGGTCTCTGTGTGAGTTTGTTTGGGTTGCTTCTTATTTTCAGTTGCTCTGTTAACATTTAAGTTAGAAGCAGACTGAGAGCCTTTGTAGCTCAGGGGCACTTGTCTCTTAGTGAGTCCATTAAGGTAGTTCAAGTCCATATTGGAAAGAGTGTTCATGTGTAGCTGCTGGTATGAGAATCTGTCCTCTTCTTGGTCTTTGCGTCCTCTTTTTTTATTAAAATTCATCACTGAGTGATATCCAGGAGCATTTTTGTATAATAAGGCCTTGTCAAAAGTCTGCTGTGGTGGAGCAAATCTATTGGCGGTTCCGTGGGGCCCCTGGCCCCTAGGTGCCCCCGAGTGTTGTAAGTCGTTGCTGGGGGCACGCGTGACCGCAGCTGTCTCATGCCTTATGGGAGCATCAACAGGCTTGTTCTGAGTTGGTTGCCGTCTGGGAGGGTTTTTCGGGTTTCCCTGACTGAACACCAGCTCTTCCGGCACCGAAGACTTCAGGCCAGGCTTGTGCTTCTGCTGTTTTCCAGCCTTGTGTCCGGCTGCTCTTCTGGAAGGCTGCTGGCCACTGGTGGCTTCAGGAGATGGCCCTCTGGGTTCCTGACTCGATGCTGCACTTTCATATTGAGACCAGTGTTCCTGGCAATTCCAAAAAGATATTTTGGTTAATGCAAAATTAAAAGGGTGGGCACTCCTCACACGTTTT